GAGCCTTAATATTAAGACAATATGTTTCTTACACAAAATAGATATAAGATCAATGAGACAGAATAGAGGATGCAGGCTCATCACTACAAGAACAGCTACCTAAGATTTTACCAAGGTAGCAAAAACATAACATTGAAGCAAAAGCAACATCTTCTACAAATGGTTCTGGAAATCCTGATTCTAATCATTCAGACAAAAAGACTCATATCCCATCTTGCACTTAACTGCCAGTGGATCCAGGACATCATCATAAGACCTACTCTTGTTGTAGAATATTATTTTAAGATGTGTTACATTTGTTTATGCTGTGGAACATTTGTTTAATGATGCAAAGATGTGTTGCATTCTTTTCTGTTGCATTTATTTAACTCTATGAAGCTGTGTGACTGTGCCTGTCTAAAACACCTGATGGTCTAATAAAGAGCTGATGGTCTAATGAAGAGGCAGAGAAAGGATAGGTGGGGCTGGTGGGCAGAGGGAATAAATAGAAGGAGAAATCTGGGAGGAAAAGAAGAAAGAGCAAGAGAACAAGGAGAGGAGGCTGCTAGGGGCCAGCCACCCAGTTACACAGCCAAACATGGAATAAGAAAGAAAGAAAAGATATACAAAAATAGAGAAAGATCAAAGCCCAGAGGAAAAAGGTAGACTGGATAATTTAAATTGAGAAAAGCTGGCTAGCATCAAGTCAAACTAAGGCCAGGCATTCATAAGAAATAACAAGCCACCCTGTGTGTGATTTGTTTGGGGGGTGTGTGGCGGGCCCCCCAAAGAGTAAAGAGCCGAAAGAGTGAAAGAGCAAAGAGTAAAAAACAACCAACGACATACGCTGAAACTTCTAGAGGATAAAGTGGGCATACATTTCGATTCATAGGCACAGGCCCATACTTTTTGGATAAGACTTCCATAGTATAAGTTGTCAGTTTAACAGTGGACAAATAATAAGATCATAACATTCAAAAGGACAATTTCAGTTTAGTGAAGGAACAGTCCACTAATTGGGATAAAATCAATGTGAGTTATTCATCTGATATTTGACTAGGTTCTAGACAACACAAATAACTTACAAAAACTAAACATCAATAAAACAACCAATTAAAACTGAGATGTAGAAATGAGTGGTCAATATAGTAGGCAAGGGAGAGCAAGGGAAAAGAAATGCTAGGGATTTTTGAAAAAGCCACAAGGAATCATTTTTTAATTTACCTGAAATTACATTTAATACATATCAATGTATTACATATAACTATCTGTATGTATAAATTAAAAATAATATACCTAAGTTATGAGATATATATATATATATATATATATATATATTTGTATATCACATAACCTCAGTACTAGGCATAAGAAATGAGAAACCTTTTTGTCAGTTATTGTTCAGGGGAGTTCAAGGAACTCTCAGAACAATGTGGCTATTGTCTTTGTCCTTGGTTTCTTCCCAGGAGTTAAATTTCCTATTTCTGAAGATGTGATAGACTTTGGGCCCAGGACTTAGATAAGTTAAGCTGGATCTTGCCTGAAAGCCTGTTCTGTGATTATTGGCCTTCAGAGTACCAGGAGACACTATGTAAGTTGCTAAGGGAGGGAGAAATTCAATAGGCATACTCAGTTGTGACACCTATAAACTACAACAATGACCAGCATGGCAAGTTACTATAAGCTCTCAAGCCTCCTGAAAGAAGCTTCTCACTGTAGTAGACAGAAACCATCACAGAAAACCACAATAAGTCAAAAACATAAAGGATAACTGATTTTCGGGTTCCCAGACTCCAAGGATACATCTCCAACACAACTCTTGCTACTAAGGCTTAGGGAATATAGAAGAGGGACTAAAAAGATTGCAATAGACAGAGGAATAGGAATCTTCTCTCAGACCCTGTCTGAGATGCCTGAAATTGCAGGGAAGCTATACCTATGATACCTCAACAATAATGTTGCATAAATAGAATATGAAAAAGTAATATTAATAGACATGCTATTTTTTTTTGGTTTTTTGAGACAGGGTTTCTCTGTGTAGCTTTGCGCCTTTCCTGGAACTCACTTGGTAGTCCAGGCTGGCCTCGAACTCACAGAGTTCCACCTGGCTCTGCCTCCCGAGTGCTGGGATTAAAGGCATGCGCCACCACCGCCCAGCAGACATGCTATTTTGAAAGGCGGAAGACTTACAAGACCCTGTCCCAGACAAAGAAATATAGGCAAACAAGGAAGACTGAGACAGGGAGAATAGGTCTTCTTCAGTCTTACCCCTAACTGGCAATCTAATATCAAGTGGTGAGTCCTGAAATTGTATACCTACAAGCAACACTAAAAGACTAAACAGGTTGTATTTATATATTTACACATTTATACACATATGTAACAATAATAAATTTTTAAAAAGGCCATGGCTTTGAGTAGTAGCTAGGGAATTGGAACATGGAAGTGGTTAAAGGCAGAAAAGGAAAAAATGATGTAATTATATTTTAATTAAAAATAAAATGGGCAGAGGGAGAGAGTACAGGGCGAGATGACTGGAATAGGGGGCCTTTAGGGACAATGTGGAAACCTAGTACAGTGGAAATGTCCTGGAACCTATGAACCTATGATGATGACACTAGGGAGGACTTTTAGTAAAGGAGGCTGTGGATCCTGAACAGGTCATCTTCTTTAACCAGGCAAGGCTCACAATGGTGGAACTGGGACACCAAGCCAGCCACAAAACCTTTCATTCACCTGTCCTGACTGCAAGATGTGCTGGGTCAGTGATGGCTCAGAGCTTATGCGAGTGGCCAACCAATGACTGGTCTAACTTGAGGCCCATGCCAGGAGGGGCAACTCATGTCCCACACTGCCTGGCTGGCCAGGAACTGGAAGCTGGATAGCTCAGAGATCTAGTGTAGAACCAAACACAACTGACAAAAAAAATCAAGGAAATAATTCCTAACGATATTCTGCTATACTTATTGATCTGTACTTAGCCCAATTGTCATCAGTGAGACTTTCTCTGGTAGCAGACAGAAGCAGATGCGGAGACTCCCGCCCAAATATTAGGCAGTATTCCTTTGGAAGAGGGGGAGGAAGAATTGTAGAAGCCAGAGGAGTGGAAGACACCAGGAGAACATAGCCCACAGGCTCAACTAAGCAGAGACCATAGGGCTCACAGAGACTGAAGTAGCAATCATGGAGCCTGCATGGGTCTGTGCTAAGCCATCTGCATGCATGGTTTGGTTGTTTAGCTTGTGGTTCTTGTGGGACTCCTAAGAGTGGGAGTGGGGGTGTCTCGATTCATATGCCTGCTCTTGGGATCCTTTCCTTCATCCTGGGTGGCCTCATCCAGCCTTGATATGGGTGTTTGTGCCTAGTCTTATCTTGTCTTGTTGTGGCATGTTCGGTTGATATCTGGGAGGCCTGCTCTTTTCTGAAGGGAAACAGGAGCAGTAGATCTGGGAGAGAGGGGAGGTGGGAGAGGGAACTGGGAGAAGTGGAGTTTAGGAGAAGCTGAGGTTGAGATGCACTGTGGAGAGAATAAATAAAAAGAAAATAAATAAAATAAAATAGGTATATTTTTAAAATCTTATAACAAGAAACACAAATGGCTAGCAAACACTTAAAAAAAAATTGTTCACTGTGACCTGGGGTGATGGATCAGTGGCTAAGAGTACATGCTGCTTTTGTAGAGGATCCAGGTTCCATTTCCAGATCCCACATGGCAGCTCACAGCTATCCATACTTCAAGTTCCAGGCTATCTAATAGACTCTTATGTTTCTGCAGGCACCAGACACTCAGGTAGAGCACATACGTTCACACAGGCAAACACTCATATACAGACATAACCCAGTAAATTATATACCTTATTCTTGATGGTGCAATTTTTAATTCAAACCTAATTGCTTCCTTTCTGTGGACATATGTATTTTTCAAAATGTCCTCTGGGAGTCCCTGGGATATTGCATTTTAATTTTCCCTTAGAAAAACACTAAATACACACTTTTAAAAAACCAGATTTGTTTCTTTTTCAAATCTTTTTAACCTTTAATTCCCATGATACCTGTATCACCTTTTTTCTCAGACATTATTTTAAATAAATTGCACCAAGGTGTGCAGCTTCAAGTCTGCTTTGAGGCTCAGGGTGTCACTGACTATAAACTTAAAATTTCATAGAGAAACTGCTCTTCTGTTGATTGAAGTTGAGGCTGGAAGAAGCATCAGATGGCCCCAGCTCCTCCTGAACACAGCTCAGTGGGTGTTTCATACACCAATTTAAAGACAAGTTACAGGAATAATACCCTGAACTTGAGAAGCAGGGGCACCCCAAACTTGAGAAGCAGGGGTACCAGCATTAACACAGTACAAGTAACTGTCCTGATAGCTGCTTAAAACTTGGGTTATCTTTTGTCTAAAAAAATCTACATTCAAATTCTAGAGCAAAATAAGTTTTTCCTTTTGTACAAATTTCACTATCTGATTTATACAATATAATATTCTTGGCATTTGCATTTTTATTTCTTATGTTAATGATCTTAATTTACTGGCTCAGTAGGAATTCATGTCCTTCAATCTCAAGCCATTGCAGTTTGAACCCTGTTTGCAGATGTCAATGAATGTCTTCCCAGAACTGATTACTCCCACTAACACATCCCCGTATACAAAATGAGTACAACAAATCCAGACAAATAACACTGCTGGTTATTATTTAAGGCTTCCAAATACTTAATTGAACACTATAAATCAAATAATAATAATGTGATAATAAATTGAGATGTAAGATTGCACAAATCAAATTTATTTAATTAAAATTTTCAATTTTAGATACTCTTGGAGGAAAACCAAATATATATTTGAGAGGACAGACAGTAAAGCATAATTTTGAGTTATCCTTATTCTGAGAATCGGTCAGAAGTTGAGGATGAAAGAAGTAGCTGAGGGATCATTGAAAAGACAGTGGTAAGAAGGAAGAATGAAAACAAGGCTATAGGACACAGAGTTATTGATTTTGATATTGTAAGACTACAAAGATTTAACAGTTGAATCCAACAAGGCCAGACCCACAGGTTGATGTGTAACAGTAAGGATGAAATGTAGTAGAAGCCAAGTATGCTGGGTAGCAGAGTCTGGACCCATAACCCAGGGAAGGGAAGCCAGAGACTCCACAATTCAGAGATCTGAAGCCCCTGGATCCACAGCCCCCTGAGTAGCAGCTTCTAGATCCATAGCCCAGGGAACAGCAGCTCCTGGACCCAAAGCACAGAGACCCAGCATATGTCCCCTGGCAGGGACTGCAAGGTGTGGAGCTCCTGGGATAGTAGCAGGGCTTCTGGCAGGGGCTGGACACCACACAGGACCTCTGGCAGCTGATGGGCTCAATGCAGGTCTCCTGACAGCTGGTGTTCAGAGAGGATCCCAGCTGGCAGGTGCTGGGAGAGCAGCTGGTAGTGGTGTAGACCAGGTTGCTGGGGTAGGAAGAACCACAGGAGGAACGTGAGGAGGGCAGACAGTGCCCGAGGGAGCGGTTGGAGAAGTTTCCAGAGCAGCAGCTGTAGGCCATGTTGAGAGGAGATGTGAGTTCAGCTGGATGTACCTGGGAGGATTCTGAGTTTGAATGTCATGCTGTGGAGAGCTGGGTTTATATACTCTCAGCAACAGGTGTGGTACCCAACAGTCTCATCCTTGATGCATCTGTGTGCTTCCTCGTTTACAAACGTGGAACTCAGTAATCTCTGTAATTGCAGTTGCATTTGCATAGTTTTCTGCACATCGTGTTTATGGGTGTTGTCGTTTTATTAAAGGAAAAGATGATGAGCTATTGCTGTGCCAGACATGCCATGACTGTTTTATAGTAATGAGTATTTTATCATGTCCTGCAAAGAAATTGCTCCTTTTCCTCTTAATGTAAGTTTTATATGTTTTGTCATAGGATGTTATGAGGAAAATACTTTTCTTCACGGTATGTGACATGACGGTAATTTGCTGTTTTACTTGTTAATGAATTGGAATCATTACTTTGCATTTCCTATGGAACATACTGAAGATGGACCTTACTTGCCCCATTCTTCTCATTTTCCAATATTCTATAGAAATCCCTAACATTTTCTATATGATTAAGCTCTAATATCAAGGAAACATTATAAGCCAGGAAAAATCAAATGAGATTGAACCCAGGAATACAGAGGGGGAGAAAAATGATTAGAGTTTTTATGATCACAAGTGAGAGAATTGAGGCCCAGTTGCCACCACTTTACTACATAGGTCTCTAACTTTTTCACTTGGTCCTGAATCCCCTCAAAATGGAGGATTCTGGAGAAGAAATACAATGTGCAAAACCTGAATACATCAAATTACGCTCATATTACTTAAAAACAAAATCTGCTGTTAAATAGCAGAGAATTCAGGTTGATGCCTTTTCCTGGCCATGTTTACTGGAACTGATAAAGAATTTTTTCACTTGCATATGTACTTTATATTTTTTGTTTATATTTTCATTTTGAGAGAGAGAAAAAAAAACATGAAGTTGGATGAATAGGGAGGACTTGCTAGTATTTGGAGGACAAGAAATAAAATGATGAAAATATATGAAACATTTAAATAAAAAATAAATTAATAAAGCAAAAGAAGAGAACGAGAGTTTCATTTTGGAGCTTGTATCTAGCCTATATCTCAATAATGTCTGCTTAAGCCATTTTGGCCCTCGCCTCATATAACAGTGTACACTTCTTAAGAGTAAAAATGAAATAAGGATGCTTTTAAAATTATCACTTAATTTTAGTGGATGAGAGAATGTGTTGATGCATCAGTTTTATGCATAGCAATGTAATTGTTTTAAATCATTCTCACCCATACCAATAGTGGTTTGTTTTTTTTACACCTATGCCTAAAGAAGAAATGAAACAGTTTTAAGCCATAGCAAATAACACACCAGAGTGGAAAAAAATATCACTTAGGGTAAGCTAAAATCAACTTCATATTAGACATAGCAAGTTTTTCAAAAGCATAATTCCAACAATAGATTTCACAGTCTGGTCTAGAATCCTAATAAAGCTTTCCAAAGGTTTATGACTATTGTCAAAATGATAATAAAGGTCATGTGTCTTGATAACAGATTGAAAATCCTATGAAGAAGTTCATTTGTGTTTGTGATAAATATATTACTTGGTATTTTTTCCAGTCAAATAGCACCATTTCAACAATTAACATGGAAATTAGTAAGTGTGAAAAAATGTGTATCCCAAGTAATTTTGGGAACCAAGGTTTTTCATAGCTTGTAAATCACCACTTTCACCCCTGTTTGTTCTATCATCATTAATAAGTCTTGGTTTCATTGGCTTTTAATTTATAGTTTGAATATGTGGTAGTACTTTAGGTCAATTTTTAGGTTTAGGTATAGAAAACATTGCATTCCTGTGAATGGATATGATTTAAAACAAAAAACATATGCATCAAATTGAGCATCAACATTTCCTTTCATCTACTAATATTAATTGATCATTTTTCAAACCAGTCTTTCTACATTATTTTTAATCTTAGAAGTATACTTTGGTATGTGTGAGAACAATAGAAATGGGCTTATAGATAATATTTAGATGTGGTCTGCACACAGCTTCCAAAATAAAACTCTGAGGTTTTACAAATAAGCAAACAGTTGAAATACTTTTCTTTCTCAATCCTGTTTGAAATTTTGAAGACTAAATATGTATCAGAATTCTTTGATATTTACCAAAAATCATTTTTATTTTCAAAGCTGTATAAGATTAGATGTGTTGAGACTTCCTGAATTTGTTTTTTTTTTCTTCTCCAGAATCTCCCCTAAGAGAGAGCTCAACAAAAAGAAAACTCCCCAAGAGCCACACAGTCTCTTGGTGTTTGCTTAGGGCCTGTGATCTGCACCCTGTGTTATAGTTGCCATAATAATCTCCTGGGAATCCTTTATTTTCCCCAGACTCACAGCCTGGGTTCACGTCATGCAAACCAAGGTTTCTACAGAACCCACAACGTGGAGGACAGTAGTCAATGGAACTTCCTGTGCTTTAAATTGTTAACACGGACTAGTCCATGCTTGCACAAACTCAGATGAGAACCCTGTATCACCTCAGGCCACATGTCAGATACACAGGATATGAAATGGTTTACTTCTCTCATTTCTTTGACTCTATTCACGAGGATCAAAATGCCCTGTACTTGTGACTCTACCTCCGTGTTGTCTTTGCTCTAACCACAGCTTCAATCAGTTCTCTCTCTCTCTCTCTCTCTCTCTCTCTCTCTCTCTCTCTCTCTCTCTCTCTCTCTCTCTCTCTCTCTCGGTTCAATCTCATTCAATTTACTAAGCTCATGCTCTGCCCTAGCCAGTGGAGGTGAAGTACATGGAAAATGCTACACATACACAAAGAAGAGTATTGGAGAATGAGAAATGATGGCAAAAGATGAGGTTATCTTCAGTAGGTTTCAAAAGGAACCAAAGTGATGCTTCCAATTCATTAGCAAAAAGAAGAGCAAATTCCTCTCATCACTAACTATGGAAGAAAAGTGTGTTCTTCGGAACATTCTGACAAACACATAAAAATCAGGCCAGGAGGAAAAGGAAGGATTTTCCTGGACGCAATGAATAAGCATCAGTGTAAAACAGTCATAGCATCTATGACATAGCAATAGCTCATTGTGTTAACTATAAGAAAATTGCAACACCCATAAATATACTGTTTAGAAAACTATTCACATGCAACTGCACATTTGTAAACCAGGAAGCACACAAATGCACCAAGGGTGAGACTGTTGGGTACCACACCTGTTGCTGAGAGTATATAAACCCAGCTCTCCACAGCATGACATTCAAACTCAGAATCCTCTCAGATACATCCAGCTGAGCTCACGTCTCCTCTCAACATGGCCTACAGCTGCTGCTCTGGAAACTTCTCCTCCTGCTCTCTCAGGCACTGCCTGCCCTCCTCACGTTCCTCCTGTGGTTCTTCCTACCCCAGCAACCTGGTCTACACCACTACCAGCTGCTCTCCCAGCACCTGCCAGCTGGGATCCTCTCTGAACACCAGCTGTCAGGAGACCTGCATTGAGCCCATCAGCTGCCAGAGGTCCTGTGTGGTGTCCAGCCCCTGCCAGAAGCCCTGCTACTACCCCAGGAGCTCCATACCTTGCAGTCCCTGCCAGGGCACATATGCTGGGTCTCTGTGCTTTGGGTCCAGGAGCTGCCATTCCCTGGGCTATGGATCTAGAAGCTGCTATTCAGTAGGTTGTGGATCCAGGGGCTTTAGATCTCTGAATTGTGGAGTCTCTGGCTTCCCTTCCCTGGGTTATGGGTCCAGATTCTGCTACCCAGCATACTTGGCTTCTACTACATTCCAACCTTCTTGTTATAGATCATTCTATGGCACTGCCTTCTAGAAACTCAATTGTTAAGTCTCTGTATCCTTACAATATCCAAATCAAATTCTCTACGTCCTGTATGCAATCTATTATTCTCATCTTCTACTATTACCTTTTTGTCTTTGCACTGACAATTTCCTTCATCCTCAACCTCTGCCAGAATCTGAATGTGCCATCCCATATTGTACCTCAAATTTTGTGCTATTAATACTCTGCTATTTGGTGTTCATTCAAACCTATTGGAAAACTGAAAATTTAACCCAATAAATTTGTGCAATCTGAAACCTCAACACATTATTCATACTTTTATTACATTGCTTATATGTTTGCATCTATTAATATCTGGGACTTAATTAAAGATCAAAATCTTTACCCAACTTGAGTTTGAGAGAAAATAATTTGGTTTTGGGCATGTTCCTTTTTTTGTAGTAGTCAATAATTGGAAGATTGTAATTTGAAAGCAAATAAGGCTCGTAAAAGTGAGCATTGCTTACGACTGAAGTATAAGATGAAAAAGTTATTCATCAAAACTATATTGCTATATAATTTATGGGGTTATGTATGTTTTTAGAGAAAAACTATTTAGGGGAATCTGACTTTTCAACCATGAGAAAAAGTCAACTTTCAAAGACTCTCAAGACAGACACTTTTTATCTAAAATGCTGGTATTTCTGCCACCCAGATTTTAGACATTATTTCTGCCTATCTTCTCAAACATTTGAAAGGAGAATTACAATGATCTTAGGTGGTAATAACTGGGTCCAGGAATCAGGGCAACTTCCTGATGCTTCTCCAACTCAACTTCACCCAACCTTGAAACACTGATGAACAGTGTTTATTCATTTGTTTTAGTCTGATTGTCAAAGTCAAAGAGTCAGGTAAAGTTTGTTTGGAAAAGAAAGCTGACCCAAAGCAATAGTGTATACTCCATTGGCACATCAACTTGGTCTAGCAAATAGTCATGGTCCCATGGAACAGATCAGAACTGACCCGGGGCAGGAGCACACAGGCTACAAATTTAGGGCTGCAGAAGTCATGACCCAAAAGAATGGGCCAGGGCTGAGCCAGGGCAGTGATTCTATAGCAATACAGTAGAAGTCATGGGCTGAGGGACAGGATTAAGGTACTCAGACTTGAGGAGTTCCACAGCAGGAGTTGGAGCAAGGAGAAGTAAGG